AATTGATCAGTTTCTTGTTGGCAAATGTGCATCCTGTGCGAACTGCTTCGATAGTGCCCTGCGTCACAGACCCTATAAACAAAGATGAATGATGGCAAGCAGTGAAATTTGAAATGAGCATTTCGTCCTACTTGGGATTCATCGGCTGAATGTACATAAGCCAATAAGAGACTGATCAACTACAGTCCTAAACGCTAATGGAAAGATTCAAGCAAACAATAACAAGTGAATTTAAACTTCAACACACTGCATAAGCATGTGGCCATCAAGATTCAGTATCTAAGTGAATAACGCGATAGCGTTTGAAACGAACGGTATTCAGTTTGAGTCCTAGAGTGAACATCAATTCTGAGATGCAAGTACATCCAGATGACGAGTCTCAAATAGGACGAAACGCGTGTCCTGGATTTCACTGCTATCCACTGTCCATCTTTGCTTATAAAGTTTGTAATACTGATTTTTTGATTTTAAATGATTGATAACGAAACGACATGACGCAAAATCAAAACTATTGAATCACTTATGACCATTAATAAGTTTGTTGATATGTATATATAACGCTATTAAACTAATGTGGCGCCATTCAGTTGTTATTGTAGTGAAAGTAAGATGTGGTTGATCGTTAAACATGGACTGAGAGGTACTAACTATGAAATATAGGATTTCATTTTGTAGTGTGGTGTTTCAGCCATTTGAATTTAGTGAATCCTTATTCAGTAAAGTTGATTGAGTTATCTGGATTAGAATCCTCTTTTCGAGACTCACAAACTCACCGCGTGGACGTGTTTTCGTGGGGACATTTTTGCGATTCCCAAGTCTTAAGGCGCGGGCGTCGTACCAGGGTCAAGTATAGACTACATGCCTACCGGTAACAAATAAGTATTCACTCATTCATCCTATAGCAAACTTATAGTTATATTCACCCACTTAAGATAGTAGATGGTCACTGCTTACTTCGAACGTATTTGCTGCAACTGATTGTCTCTTACACACTTCATGCACATCACTGGTACGAAGACTTTTGTCCATGCATCTCACGATGGGCACATAAGTATATGCACCCTCTCAGGGAATGTTAATGGTCACTTCTTTCTATTACATCGTACCATATCTTTTTATTATGTCTGTAACCTGATAGTTTAGGCTGATGATTTTATTAGACATAAGGTAAATATTTCAGTTAACATCTTTTGGATATATCTACCTACACAACTACACAAGCCGAGACTCATACAATTAATCTTCATACGTATGTATATCCTACAGACCAACACGATTTTTAAAGTTTGGAAGAGTGAACACCAAATAATCCAAGTTAAGCATAAGTGCGATGGTTTAGTCCGATCTCCGCTAACAAGGTTGCTCTTAGTATCCAGCAGCGCTAAGTGTAGGTAATAAGTTGGATGTTCATTGCTTTCTTCCCGGTACTAACTTTTACTCTAAATTCATCAAGTATAGACAGTTCTTTAATAGTATTAAATCAAATATGATCTAGCCTATACTCTAATTCTCTATTTTAGTTTGTGATTTATATATCTCGTATAATGCATTCCAATCTAAGTATTGTGTATTAATCGAGTTCTCATAATCTTAGCTCCCCAGTCCTATTATTGTATTACTTACTTACTTACTTTTTTTCTGGTTAGCGTTTTTTTAGCGAGTTAGTTTTCTACGGGATGGGGACGCTAACCCCATGCCCAACCCTCCTCCTTTATCCGGGCTTGGGACCGGCAGTAGCCCCGGAGGGACCCCAGGCGGAGTGGAAGTGGATAGGACACACATTGAGGAAAGCACCCAACTGCGTCATAAGACAAGCTCTCACATGGAATCCTGAAGGTCAAAGGAAAAGAGGAAGACCAAAGAACACATTACGCCGAAAAGGAGATAGACATGAGAAAAATGAACAAGAATTGGATGGAACTAGAGAAGGAGGCCCAGGACAGAGTGGGTTGGAGAATGCTGGTCAGCGGCCTATGCTCCATTGGGAGTAACAGGGAGTAAGTAAGTAAGCAAGTAAGTAAGTAAGTAAGTAAGTAAGTAAGAAGTAAGTAAGTAAGTAAGTAAGTAAGTAAGTAAGAAGTAAGTAAGTAAGTAAGTAAGTAAGTAAGTAAAAGTAAGAAGTAAGTAAGTAAGTAAGTAAGTATGTAAGTAAGTAAGTAAGCAAGTAAGTAGTAAGTAAGTAAGCAAGCAAGTAAGTAAGTAAGTAAGATTACCTACTTACTTACACATGTTAACCCCAATGAAGGAGCATAGGCCATCGACCAGCACTCTACAACCCACTCTGTCCTCTGCCTTCCTTTCTACTTCTATCCAATCGTTGTTTATTCTTCCATTTCTCAGTGTAATGTGTTCTATGGTCTTCCTCTTCTCCTTTGGCCTTGAAGATTCCAAGTAAGAGCTTACCTTATGACACAGTTGGATGCTTTCTTCATTATGTATCATCCTATACACTACCAGTACTTCTTCCTGATTTCCTCCCCCACTGCAATCTGGTTTGTTCTCTTCCATAGTAGACTATTATTATATTAGTATAGTATATTAATAACAAAACTAATATGAAGATGGATGTCTGTTTTGGTTCTTTTTCAGTCTGACGCCGTAAATCTTTTTTCACTCTATTTAGACGTTCCATCGTTTGTTTTCTAGTATTCTTAGCCTAACTACTCATTCGTACTGTAACTGGTGTTTTTCTTTTTTCTTTCTTTCTTTTTAACATAAGATGTCTACATGTTACCTAGTCTACTACCTAGTCTGCTAGTGAGTTTTCTCTTTTTTTTTGAAGATTTATCATCATTATCATAACTGTGGTAGGTTAAATATGTAAAACTATTCAATAGAACATAGTTAGGAACCATATGGATTGATTATTGAGTATTATTAGTATTATTTACGATTGTGAAACATAACTATTAAGAGTAGAAGATACTTGTAAGTTACTGGTAATTGATCACAGATGTCTTAGAAATATTACTCACATCTGATGGGATCAGTGGGTATGTAGTAGTGAGGTTACATTCAGGGTATTAGGGAATGATGATAAATCAGTTGATGAGGTTGTGAATCTTCATCGAATAAGACGGTTGGGTCACGTGTTACATATACCTAAACACTGATTACCACGATTCACAATGCTGACTAGTGTTGGAGACGGATGGAAGAAAGTTAGGGGTGGCCAAACAAAAAACGTCGCATCAACCCTTGAAGTTACTAACTTCTAGTCTGAGCCATGTTGATAGATGCAGACTACTTGGTTGGGGTTCGCGTGTCTATTGTACCCAATGGTTGGAGACTGCGGGTGATGTCGTAGTGAACAGAACACAAGCGGGGACAACCGGATATATGATTAGCACAAATTTACAGAGTTTCTTGGCAAAATAGAAAAAACAAATAGTAAATCGTTAATTTGCAAAATATCATTCCATCATATCAAACCGGACTGTTGCCGTTGCAAACATCAATCCATTGTCTCACATTTCATTGTTCATGCGGTTTCTTACAAATTCAATTGTATTTTCGCTCTTTCATTCTTGATCTTCCCCCATCTTCTGCTGCCAGACATTACGTTCTTTAACTCGCGTTATATACTACTTATATCAATATAAGTAGTACGCACCACAATATGACTCGGAATCGATCACAATGGTGTCAGTGTATACACTCTTTGTCTTCCCTTAAACTAAGAGATTAAAATCACTTCATATCTTTCTTTCTACGTACTAATTCTTTCTTCCTGTATTATATTCTAATATGCAATCTTTCTTTCATATATTACCACTATTGATTTACCTTCTTCTATAAATTCGGTATCCATCTTATTGTGCTAATGAGGTATGGCAACTTGTACCGATGCACAAATGTGCATATATATTAGTTAAATTACTAGATTATGTCATATTTGTTCATATCCATATGCATTTAGTCGAATATACAAAGGTGTATTTAACCTATAGAGGCTAATTTCCTCTACATCTAACTCCAATAAATAGTATCCCGTTAACTGAGTATTTGACGCAGGTCAAATCTCCTAGTAGTATTAAGAGTTCACTTGAGATTATTCAAAAATGAGAACACCATTTGTAGAGATAGTAAATTGTTAATAATTAGTAAAACTTTGAAATCATGGAGAAAGCAAACACATAGGGAAGCGAGTGTGTGTGACTGTAAAAAAATCCATATATCTTTATGAGTATTAATCGATTGTGGGTAAGTTATTGATTGACTGTGTTTAAAACCGCTCGAAACCCAAGGACCTGGGTTCAAATTTCTCATGCGGTGTCGTGGATGTTTACTGAGTAGTCTTATATTAGGATGAAACGACCGTCCAGTGTTTTCAGAATTTCGATGGTGGTCTAACGTTGATCGATCCATGATCCTAATCAAGAATACATAAAGATTGCTATGCAGACATGCGCTCAATCAGACTCACATATAATTTTACACAGTGGATCAAATGTTTAAATTACAGCAAGTACACGAATAATCAAATAGTTCATTTGGCTTACTGAAGCACATCTGGTCGAAAAGGCGTGATCAGATTTAATTGTTATAAGTAAACAATCGATTTGCTCTTTGAATTGTTTAACCTCGTGTTAATTTGGTGAGAAAAAAGACCATTTATTCTGTTAAGGGTCTATGATAATTCCTTTAAAATATATTTATGATCCAGAAAAATGTTGAAGATGATTCTTCCAATCAGCGTTTTTATAAGGTTATAAGAGAAATATAGGCTTCAATATACACAAAGGAAAGAGCAAGACCTTCAAATACAATACAGAGAACCCCAACCCAATCACACTTGATGGAGAAACTATGGAAGGTGTGGAATATTTCACGCACCTGGGAAGCTTCACCAATGAACAAGGAGGATCTGGTGCGGACGTAAAGGCAAGGATTGGTAATGCAAGAGCGGCATTCCTACAATTGAAGAACATATGAAACTCAAAACAACTGTCAACGGACATCAAAGTCCGAATCTTCAATACGAACGTCAAGTTAGTTCTACTGTATGGAACTGAAACTTGGAGAACTACCACAATCATCAAGAAGATACAAGTATTTATAAACAATTGTCTACTCAAGATACTCAATATCAGCAACGGTCTACTGTTGGAGAGAACAAACCAGCCTCTAGACGAAGAGGAAATTAGGAAAAGACGATGGAAATGGATAGGACATACATTACGCAAATCGTCAAACTGCATCACACGGCAAGCCCTGACTTGGAATCCTGAAGGGAAGTGGAAAAGAGAAAGGTCAAAGAACACATTACGTGGGGAAATAGAAGCAGATATGAAAAGGATGAATAACGACTAGAAGGAGCTGGAAAGAATTGCCCAGGACAGTGTTTGATGGGGAATGCTGGTGAGCGGTCTATGCTCCTTCACGAAAAGTAACAGGCGTAAGTAAGTATGTGACAATACTTTGAATAGTTGGAAAATAAGATTTAGACAACACGAAGACGAAAACAATCGCACAATATCATGAACTAACTAAAATTTTGGATGTATACACTAATGTAAGCCGACTCAATAGTCTAGTGTTTAAGCATTCATGTACGATACCATAAGTCTTGGTTTCAATTCCTTGTATGATACTGTTTCATATGCGCTTTGCTTAGTAGTCCCATATTAGAACGAAACAACCATTCAGCGTTATTTTTTTTCTAATAACTCTTTGTTATCATTGAGATTCTGAATAATATAAAAAAAGCAAAGATAATTCACCAAGTTACAGTATCCTGACAGTGTGGACAACGATGAAGAAGAAGATGATGAAGACAAAGTGATATTATAAAGTTATGATACAATTGCTTTAGCTGGTTTCCATAATGTTTTCTTTATAAATGAACAATCCATTGAATTATTTCTTGAATTCTCATTAGATAATGATGAATATAATCCACTAATTTGTTTAGAATAATCTCTTTGTTTATTGGTTTCAAGTAGATCAGACCAACAAAGAGGTTGTAATTTCTTATCAATTGATGAAGTAGATATTGAAATATTAGATGGTTTTCTTAAAGATTTAAGTTGATATGAAGTTTTCTCTTGTTTATTGTTTATAGATCTGAATAGAGATAAGAAAACACTATGTAGATAATCATTTTGTTGGTTAGAAGATATCATCAATGAAGGGTTTGATATGAATTTCGACTTACATTGGTGTGTGATCTGAATAAATCGTACTAGAACAAAATGGTTGTCCAGTGATTCCAGTGATTCCCTTCGAATAAAATCTATCATATATCACGTATAAATACTAAATCGGTATTCAACTATCAAAGAATTTGATTGATCTACCAAATGCTAAGTGTATTTTCTGTGAGGACAATCAACAGGTGAACTCGAGAAAGCTCTAAGAAGCTCAGAAAGAGTCAAAGATATTCCATTTAATAATCTTTTGGAAGAATACTTCAGAATCATGACGTGTAGCTTCTCTATTGGACAAATGTTAATAACCCCCCTGTATGCAGCTTGGATAACTAGAATGATGATTTCGTTTTTCACTAAAATCTATAAATACCTGACAGTTTTGTACCATAATTGACCCTGTTTGGAATAATATTCCTTTCACTTGTCTTTTGTCTTTTCATTCACCACTTGGGAGTGTTTTAGCGTCGAGTGTTCAAGTTATACGCGGCGTAGTAAGAATTTAAGCTCTAGATATAACATTCATTCAAGTCAAACTTGTAATCTTACATCTAAGGGTTCGTGAGACTAACCAATTATCATTATCGATGTAGATGTATAAATGGGGACTTATTGAAGATAAAGATCATCATCAGTATAGGGTTGTGAATATTGTTGAGTTTAAACTGATATCATGAATGGATCAATGTTAGATCACCATTGAAATCCTGTAAGCAGTAGATGGCGGTTTTGTCCTAGTATAGGATTCTTCAACAATGCACATCTACAATCTCGTATACGGAACTCGAACCTAAGGGTTGAAAACTAAAGGATTTGACCACAAAGTTATTCATTCATTGAACGCTATTTTAATTGAGTTTCTTAGTTAAAAAAACTTACTGATATTTTATTTCAGTTTTCTTTGGAGACTTGATTGATTGATTTGCATGCCAAAATGATAAATGATCAAATGATTTGGTTGACTTCTTTGTCATACTTTCACTATTAGGTAATTTTGATACTTTTTTGATGGAATCTTGTATTTTAGAGTAATCTGGAAAGTAACTGTAAATATTCATATGTGAAAATAAACTTTGTTGATCAGTAACATGTGGTGTTTAGTTCGTGAAACATACTATACTACTTATAAGTAACTGATTATTAATTAAGAAAGTTTCCTCATCCATGTTTTGCTTGGTCATTTAGATATTCTCTACTGAATGGGATGGAAACTTGGAGAACTACGAAAGCCATCATCCGGAAGATACAAGTGTTTATTAACAACCGTCAACACAAAATACTTTAGATCCGTTGGCCAGACACTATCAGCAACAACCTACTGTGGGAGGGAACAAACCAGATCCCAGCGGAGGAAGAAGTCAGGAAGAAGTGCTGGAAGTAGATAAGATACACATTGAGTAAATCACCCAACTGCATCACAAGGCAAAGCTTTTATTTGGAATCCTCAAGACCAGAAGAGAAGTAGAAGACCAAAGGACAAATTATGCCGAGAAATGGAGGCAAACATGAGGAGAATGAACAAAAATTGGATAGAACTTGAAATGGGTGGCCTATGCTCCATTGGGAATAACAAGCGTAAGTAAGTAAGTAAGTAATCAGAAAGGGGTTTTGTGGATATTATAGTAATTTAATAGTTGAGTACATGAGTTCATTGAAGTTAAACCACCATGTAAAACCTGGATCGTATATGAGCACTGTTGAGAAGTCCCATTCTAGGACGAAACGGCTGTTCAGTGTGGTCTAGCTTCAATTAACTCATGAAATCAACCATTTAAATGTTGTTTTGCTTAAAAATATCGGAATGACTAGTTTTTCAGTTTGTTAATCTTCAACATCTATTAAGTGTTGTTATTTTTCTCACTTTGAACAACATGTGTGCATATATTTATTTGTATGTACAGTCTGAGAAGTTAAAAAGAGAATGTCCATTGTATCGTTTTACAGAACTAACTGAATAGGTTTATTAAGTCAGTCAGCAACAACGTAGAACTTTGTACGTACGTTCATCTGTCCAAGTTGCCATATCAAAGTAGTACAGACATACAGTTACTGATTCAAATCCCATAGTACTTGAGGTAGTAAAAGTATAAGCACTAATCAAAAGATTAAGGTTTGAGAACATTATCCAAGGAGAATGACCCAGTGAAATAAATTTGGAAAGAGAAAAAGAAAACGGACATAAAGAACCCAGAAGATTAGAATTTGGGAGAACACAAAGAGTGGATCCACCTTCGCTATTGCAAACGATTTTGAACCATGTCATTCAAGGTCTCTACCCATCGGTTGCTAACATCTCGCGGATCCCAACCAGGTAGTCTACACTTACCAAAATGGCTAAGTCCATTTATTAATGACTTCATGGATTTGTTCCATGTTTTGGTTTGGCTGCCCCTAGCTTTCTTCCAACCTACTCCTTCACCATAAAACATCGCATGTTGAGGTAGTCGATGGTTGAGAACACGTAACACATGTCCCAGCCATCTCAACAGATGAAGTTTCACTACTTCACCAATTGATTTGCCATCCTTATCTAGTACCCGATTCCTAACTACTTTATTAGCTAGCTTATTGGTCATTGGTCACAGAGTCTTTGTCCGATAGATATGTGAACAAAAACTAATGAATATTTACTTCGTAAAAGTCATGATAAGTCAGCTTTATCCATATTTAGATTGTTTTGTTATATGATTACGATTCTCATCATTAACTTGCATCAGATTAGATTAAACCTGTTAGTTTGAACTCTCAGTTTCAAACTTCTGAATGACAATAGAATCAACCCATTGTTGACTTGGAATCAGTCAATCCGAACTTCCAATTCTAGTCAGTTTACAACGCTTAATAAGATGCTAATTAGATATTTGACTCATATTCAAGACTTGAATACAATATTCAATGTGATTTATATTATCAAATCTCTCATTATATTAGATTTAAAAGTACAATACTCATTCAAATGATATATCATCTTATATATTGTAGAAATGATGAACTACTGATAATCAATAAAAGGAAAGTGTATTAATAGAAGTTTGTGTTATAACTTGTGATCGCCGATTAGAGAGTAGTGACTTATCGATCGAATCAAAGACACGTAAAACACGTGCAAGCAGTCTAGAGTTCTGATTGGTCCTGATTTCCGCCTAGCCCAGCCAGATAAGTTCATCAGAACAAAAGTCTCAGCCTCTGCGATATGAATCATTTATTTCAAACATACGGGGTTTATATACCAACCAAACAGACCACAACGTACAATAAAATATGAAACAACGTTTGTACAAAATGTGGCCAAAAGTGGCTGTGAGTGAGGGAGGTAGTGATTAATAGACAAAGAATTATACAAAGACAATTATACGATAAAAATATACGTATAGTATTGATCCATAAATGGATCCCAAAGTTACCATTCATTATGCTTATCGGGATATAACAGTTTGTTCATTGATTCAAATGATGATAAGTTACAATTGACTGAATTCGTATATATTGTGTGTATAACTCATGTGCATTTCAGTGAGTGATCATAGGACTTGATCAATCAAGTTACAATGGGATCATCAATCTAAATTACTCTATATAACACATGGTATTCATAGATATGAAGTGATTGTAGATAACCAACACAAAACTCTGCATCTGGGTTTTGTGCTGGTTGTTACTTGTTGGATCAGAAAAATTATGGACAAACATAGGACTAAAAGTCAAACCAATGGGACATACAGCCAAAACAAAGAAGTAACCAATCAACATCAAGGCCTACAGGACAAGCTGTTAACCAAATTGTTATATCCCGATAAGAATAATGAATGGTAACTTTTGGGATCCATTTATGGACCAATACTATGAGTATATTTTTGTCGTATAATTGTTAAATAACTAAACTGTTCATATTCATGTCCCTCTTATTATGAGCTTCATTTAGACCTATGAACTATTATTGTACGACTTATCATTCTTGAGTTATGCCCAGTCAATCAATTACTATCTCCCACATTCACAGCCACATTGGGCTAATTCTTGTACAAATGTTGTTTCCTATTTTATGGTACGTTGTGGCCTGTTTGATTGGTATATAAACTCAGTATGTTTGAAATATAAGGATTTATATTGCAGAGGCTGAGACTGGTGTTCTGGACTTAACTAGCTGGGCTTGGTAGAAAGCAGGGCCGACCAGGACTCTAGGCTGCTCGCACGTGTTTTACGCGTCACTGGTTCGATCGATAATTCGCTGCTCTCTGATTGGCGGTATCGTTGCGTTATCCAATATACAGGGCACACAGATTTACAAGTTATAACACAAATGTGGAGAAATTCGAACATTTCACTTATACCTGGAGTTTGTGCTGATGATGCCATTCAGAAGAACGATGAAAGTTCCACGACCAAACTATTCAGCTCAAAGAAAAAAACTCCATCAACTTTAATGGAATCAATAAAAATAGACCACAACTAAGAAACGGAAAAACATGAGATTGAGTATCATCCACATCTCACTCTTATCGTAATACAAATAGCGTCCCATAATTTTGTGAAGCTAGATGGCGCTAGGTTAAATCCCACAGGAAACGTGAGTTCCTGTAAGATTATAGATCTGCCATGTTGAGAAGTGCCAACTACCCTGATACTTTGGTGTAGGACTTCTTATTGTTCATTTAGAATATAAAACTAGCTGACTGATTATCATAATTTCAATCAATTACAATCAGTTATATCTAATTCACATTATTTTCGTTTGAAAATTAGACACATGATCGTGGATTGTGGATGCGCACTACTGAGTTGTCCCAAAATAGGACGAAACGGCCGTCTAGTGCTTCCAGGTTTTCAATGGTGGTCTAATATCAATCGGTTCATGATCTCAATAAAAAAATTTAATAATCTCCACAACCGTTAACTGATAAGATGTAAACCATGACCTTTTAGGCTACTTGAAAGAGACAATAATAAACAATCCTTCAGTCGGCGTTTAATTAAGATATGGTTCTCTCCCTCTAAATGTGAAATATTACTTTTAGACTGACCTGACTCACAGCCTAAACTGATGATCGCCGGTGAAGTAGTTCAGTCTATCGAGTTCAGAGACTGATAAGATCAATTGTGTGATAATTTTAAAGGTAATGAAGGGTTCATGGAATTAAAAAACTAATAAGATGGGTTACGTAAGAATGGAATAGAATTTGAAGAGTTGAACATAATTTAAGAGGATCAAGTGAGTGGAAATGTGTGAATGAAAGAGTGGTTTAAGAATTTGTGGACTTCAGCTCCAGGTCTGCAATGGCATTCACAGAACAGCACCCTTCCATTTCCTGGTTGGCAGTGACATCAAATGTAGTGAACGAGAACACAAGTGTATTTTAACATAGAATTAAACAATCATTTAGTAAGATCTCAGAACTATTCAGTAGATACTTCATTTGCAAAATGTCAATCAATTGTCTCAGAATTCATTGTTCTTTCGTTTCAACACTAATCATTCTCTGTTCTCGTTCTCTTTCCTTCGAGGTATTTCACTTTCGATTAGTGACACATATAATACTTGTATCTGTCAACATCAGTAGCATATACCACGGTAGGTCATTCACAAAATGTTGGACTATAGATCTAAATCACTTAACTTAATTGTGGTTTGGAAGTCACATACAGAGAGTTCAAGGTTGTTTTATGAATTTTAAAGTTGGTAGTGTTACATTTAAGATCATAACATTAGAAAGTCCAACAATCTAAAACTATACACCCTTTATAATTTACCCGTTGTTTTTTGTTATTTCGAAATATTCATTTCATTTATAAAAGTTAAATCATGATTGCCTGATGTTTAATCAGGTTATATCACAGTTGCCTTTAGAGTTATCCAAGATTTTATTTCGACCGAATATATATACACCACACAAGTCACTTGATTTGTGTGTGAGCTGTGATACTGCCCGGGTGCCCAGACAGAAGCAGGTTGTTTTTCTTAGGCGGCCATAACCAGAGACTTCGACCTAAAGGTCTAATCCACAAGGCAGTGGGGGAGCGATGTCAGGAGATTCAGTCTCATGGCAGCCGGTGACCTGACAATAGGTCCATAGGCCATTTGTTCCCTCAGGATCCTGAAGTCCACATGCATCATTGGTTTGTACCAAGGGTTTTTCAACTCCCCCAAATGGATCCTTCATATCCGCCAACTTGGTTAAGCGCTGGATATTTTCTTTTCGTCCTCTCGATTTCGTAAACAACATCCCAGTAGCGAAAAGGTAGTGAGTAGGTCTTCCCTGACAGTAGCTGTATATACGTGGTCATGAGAGAGTGCATTTCGAGATGGTGATCACATTTGATTGATCACTGGGTGATGATCAATGTCATGAATATCAAGTCCTTCTTAGTACACATTGAATGCTATCGATCTGATCTGACTTTCTCCACCCTTGACCATGCCAAAGACATTTGGATGCTATTCACTCAAATGCATCAATATAACTCAATTCTATACATAACAATTCTTCAGAATAGAATAACGAACTTACTTTTCTAATGGTTGAATATCATTATCAATGAATGTTTCATTTTGTTTATTTTTCAAGGTAGGATAGAATGACATTAATTGATCAACTTGTTGATCATTCAATTTTAAGTTCGAATCCAATTCATGCTTTATTTTCATTTGATTATTATTCAATAATGAAGATGTGAACTGATTAGTTTCAATGGATTTGATTGCATCTTTTAAATTTTGTTGAAATGAGATCATACGAAATTGATCTTGATTTCTATTAGCCCATGATACAGATAAATTCATTTTACGTAATTGTTTCTCAATTGATGGTGATTTTAATTGTTTCATGATATTCATTAATGAATTTGATGGATTTTCACGAATAAAATCACATAAAGGTGGCTAGAGAGAGAAAAAAAAAGGAATAAAACAACAAAGAAACAATGGATTAGTTGAGCGGTCGAGCGGTGTTAAAGATATGAAGACGGTTATCATTTCTCGGTTTGCCTACACCGCGGAAGGGTTCTTTTGGAGGTACATGAAAAGAAAATTGGCTTAAAGGTGGTATTACTGACCTGAGAGCGTGATCACAGTGCCTAATACACAACTGATTGAGGTCGGTCACACACGACCTTTTTGTGGGTAATTTTCGTGTTAGCTCCGTAATTGTTGAAACCTTATCACTGGAGATGGATATCTGTGGGATAAGGCGAGGTGTTTTCTAACCCCACCCCTCCTTGTGGGAAGGTAGCATCGCTGTTATGCTGGTTGTCTAAAAGAAATATTTTACTGCCATCACACCTCTGTACAGTCAGCAGTAGGACTTTGGTCGGCTGCTTTTAGTCTTACCGCTCTTCAACCGAGCTGTCTGGCATGGTTGGACCTTGAGGAACGATTATTCCAACTAGTATAGCTCGATTTGTTCATCACGATAGGCAAGCCCGACCATCACGTCAAGTTAGCAACAACGGTCGGGTGGATTGGTTGAAGTTAGATATTAACACCAATGGATGCCGGCCAGCCCAGCGGTTTAGAGGTTAAACGTCTGCGTCTGGGCTCAAATCTCGAGAGGTAGGATCGTGGATGCACACTACTGAGGAGTGCAATACTAGGATGAAGCGGCCTTCCAGTACTTCCAGATTTTCTATGGTGGTCTAGCTTCAATCGACTCGTGAGTTCAACTATTAAATTAAAATAATAGCTGTCCGATACTAAAGACTCATCAAGTGCTTATCAGTGGATTACTGCGAGCCATGATCAGTAAGGTTCAGTCATTCCAAATATGAGATAAATCTCACCAATGATATCGAAGATAGAAGTGTGACATCAATAATTGATTAAGGTTATCGATGTAAACTACTAGGTTGCAAATAAATTATTTGAATGTTAAGCGCTCAACATTTAATGACATTTAGTTTCTTCCCTGTTTTTGCCCGCGTATACCCTGATACGGCCGAGAGTGGGGAGAGTCAGCTATTCCTCTCGAAATACTCTCACATAGCCACGCGTATACAGCTTCTGCCAGGGAAGTCCTACTCACTGCCTTCTCGCACCACGGGTTTTCTTCATGAAATTGAGAGGACGAAAAGCGGATGTCCAAGGCTTTAACTGGATTGGTAGACATGGAGAGTTCACCTAGGTGAGTTGGAAAACCCTCATTACAAACCAATGGTGCACATGGACTTCAGGATCCTAAGGGAACAAATAGCGTATGAACCAATTGTTGATGACCAGCTACCATGTGACTACATCTCTTGACGTTGATCCACTGCCTTGTGGATCAGACGTTTAAGTTGTAGGCTTCTTGCATAGACCGCTGAGAAAACCACCTGTATCGGTCTAAGCACTCGGGCAATATCATAGTCCATACACAAATCAAGTGGTTTGTGCAGTACATATGTATTTGGTGCCACTTTGTTCCAATATTTATGTTATTACATAATAAATAATAATAGTATCTTGTAACCCAGTTATCTCTAGGTTGTATCTTATTAAATGCTAAGTTGAATTTATCTATATTTTTGTATTGAAACGTGTAAAGTTTACGGATATTTGAGAATATGAACTGGTGTTAAAACTTAGTTACAATAAACAACATAATCTGAACTATTTCCATCGGTTTGTTATTTAATGTTCGATCATCAATTGAAGTAAGAAACTTTCGGGACGAAATGGTACAATTTACAAAGTACAGAATAGAAATGAACCAGGTATGAGCTAATTCCTAATCAGATTATTAATGAAGACAAGCCAATTAGAATCGAGAATATAAATTTTCTGGGGGTTTTTTTGCGCAAAATTTAAATATCATCCATAATCAACAATAGAATTACTTTTGTATAATACTCAAACATGCCCTAAAATAGTAGCAAAAAGTTACCTTGATCTTGTTTCAAAACCTTAATTCAATAGGTTGCTTAGTTCAATGATGAGACTTACAGTGTGTGAGTTCGACTGGTAACTGAAATACTCTTGACAGAAGAAAGACTAAATCTATCCTTACCTGGTATTATAGTGAAAGAGAAGACAAGTGGGGACTGTAGTGAACAAAAGCTCGGGTGGGGACAATCGATTGGTTTTAGTACGAAGATTACAGACTATTTCAATAAAATGTGAATACCATAAAGTCAATCGTCAATTTGCAAAATATCATTCCATCATATCAAACTGTACTGTTCCCGTTGCAAACACTAATCCATTGTCGCCCATTCCATTGTACATGCGTTTTCTTACAATTCCATTGTGCTTTGCTCTTCCTTTCTTGATCTTCGCCATCTTCTGCTGCCGGACATTACGTTCTTTTAACGCACGTTATATACTACTTATATCAATATAAGTAGCTCACACCACAGGGACAATCGAATATGTTTGGTTACAAAATCTCATTGAAAAAACTCTCAACCATACAATGAATACTTCATTTGCAAAATATCAATCAATTGTCTCAGATTTCATTTTTCTTTCATTTCAACACTAATTATTCTCTGTTCTCATTCTCATTCCTTCGATCTTCTAGACGTCAATTTCGTAAATAACACCCTCACTGTGAGAAAAGACAGTGAGTAGGACTTTCCTGTCAATGTTTGTATATACGTGGCATTTACAGGCACGTATACATTAAATCTCCTATTTACAAGCTAATGAATTTCATTATTTTTTTAGTGTTTTTCTTCTTTTAAATACCAAATTAGTTTTCTACAAGATGAGATCGCTAACCTTATGCCTAACCCTCCTTCTCCTCCTCCTCCTCTTTATTCCGACTTAAGACTAGCAGTCACCTCATAGTAGGGGAGGGGGAAGAGGCATGTTTCCAGGCAACTGTTCATGATTAGTTCATCTCTGTACAATTTAATACAAAAAAAAAATGAAAACAAAACTCCTTCATAGTTTACCTTTTCTTTCCCCTTTAATACATATTCATGTGTAAATGCACTATATGTAATTTGTTCTTCATTAGTTAATTGTTTTTCATAATTAATTAATTGTTCATATGATTTATATCTTAATAAATTCCATAAATATTGTGCACTATAATTTGTTCCTATATGATATTTTAATAAATCAATTAAATTAAATACACTATTTGTTCTAATTGGTGAATGAGAAATAATAGGACATTTTATTGATTTCATTGATTTGATCGATTTTATTGATTTTCGATTATCAATTGATTGATTCATATTAATTTGTTTTAAATCAAATAACCATGATTTTAATTTATAATGAAATGGTATACGAGCACCATGTAACATACCGTTTGGATAACCACCAATGAAAAGATTATCATTTATTGATTGATTTGGAATTGATTGATTGGTAATTGATTGATTTGTAATTGTTTTAATTTTTGTAGTTTTTTGAAAATTTGGATGTAAAAAATAATTAGCTATATCTGTACCCCAAAGATTTTTTAAAGTTAATTTATAATCATCATCATCATCATCGGTATCTTCAATTGAGATCTAAGAAGAGAAATAGGTTTTGATTATTATTATCAGTAGTATTATTATTATTAGTGGCTTTGATATAATATAGTATTCATATACCATTAAGTATTTGAACATTTTTTTCCTTTCTTCGACCACATATGCCTTAGAAATATTGCTCACATCTGATGGGATCATTGGGTAAGTAATAGTGAGGTTAGATTAAGGGTATTAGGGAATGATGGTAAGTCAGTTGATGAGGTTGTAAATCTTCATCGATCAAAGTGGTTGGGTTACATGTTACGTATACCTAAACACTGATTACCACGATTCAAAATGCTGACTAGTGTTGGAGACGGATGGAAGAAAGTTAGGGGTCGCCAAACCAAAACGTGGCATCAGTGCTTGAAGTCACTAACCTCTAGTCTGAGCCATGTTGGTAGATGCAGACTACTTGGTTGGGGTCTGCGTGACTATCGTAACCAATGGTTGGAGACTCTGGGTGACAAGGCTCAGAATCCATCATAATGGCGTAGGTGTATACACTCTCTGTCTTCCCTTAAACTAAGAGATTAAAATCGCTTCATATCTTCCTTTCTACCAACTAACTCTTCCTTCCTGTATTATATCCTTATACACAATCTTTCTTCTGTATGTTATTACCGTTGAAGTGACTACTTCTATGAAGTTGGTGTTCATCTTGTTTTGCTAATGAGGTATGGCAACTTAGACCGATGCATATATGTGCCTGGTCCTATTTTGTAGCTGACTGACTGACTGACTGACTTTTTTTATTTCTTGGTTGATCGTGATGATAATTGGATCTGTTGTAAGATAGTAGATTGATTGAAGTTAGATATTAACATTGTTGGGTACTGACTGCATGATCTAGTGGTTAAGTGTTCCCGGACAAGATCAATAGGTTCTGGGTTTGAATCTTAAGAGGTGGGATTGTCAATGCACACTACTGAGGAGTTCCATAGTAGGATGAAACGGTTGTCCAAGGATTCTAGGTTTTCTATGGTGGTTTAACTTCAATTAACTCATGAATTCAATTATTAAATTACTATAAGCTTTATAAAACCCCTGTCTGATTATAATCATCATATGCTCATTAGTGACTGTCTCCAAGAGTTATTTCCTAGAGTTTTAATGAGAAACAGTGACCAATGGAGTTCAACTGGGTCTGTTGTGAGATAGTAATTCATTGAAGACAATGTTGGATGGTGGTGCAATTTCGTGGATTGGTTGAAGTTAGACATTAACACCGCTTGGTGCTTGCTCTGTGATCTAGAGGTTAAGTGTTTGCACACAAGATCGATAGGTTCTGGGTTCGAATCTCGCGAGGTTGGGTCGCGAATGCACACTAGTGAGGAGTTCTATGCTAAGACGGAACGGCCGTTCAGTGCTTCAAGGTTTTTCACGATGAATTCAATTATTAAATTACTATAATATCCACAAAACCCTATTTGATTAAGATATCTAATGGTCGCCAGTTGGAAGTTAGCAGCTCAGTCAATCGACATCTAAATAATGCACATACTTTTCACTTCATATTACCAGCAACCACTATGTCTCTGATTGAGCTTTTCTCTAACTTGTACAGCGGAAGGTTGCACACCTTTCGTAAACGCAACTTAATAGGTTATGTGATTAATAAGTATAAGGATGTGTTATAACAAACAAAAACAGATAATGTGTCGAAATATCTAAAAGGAAGGATCAAATAGCCTAGATATTCAAGTAGGCCGCTAATTGCTATGTAAAACAAAAGTACATGTTACCCTTTGGTTAATCTTGTGACCTTGAGCAACCAATCAGAATATATACATTTATACATGTTAATTTTATAAACAGAAACTTGTATAAACAGTTTTACAACAATAATCATGAAAATAGTTCATAACCATTAAATGGTCAGTCTCTTGGATAAGCAGATAGATAATAAGATCTCTAAACGGTAACTAGTGAACTATATGAATTGGTTCTAAAATTTTAAGATTTCTATCTCATTTCTACAGAATGTTACAGAGTAAATTACTGTCTAATGTATTCACTCTTTCATGAGTCATACATTATGTAACTGGTGGATATGAAGAATCCACTTAGGCGAGTTGGAAAACCCTGATTTCAAACCAATGGTGCACATGGACTCCAGGATCCTGAAGGAACAAATGGCGTATGAATCAGCAATTAGTCACCAACAACCATGTGACTGCATCTCCTTACGATGCTCTACTGCCTTGTGGATCAGACCTTTAGGTCGAAGGCTCCAAATGCGGCCCCGTAAGAAAACCACATGCTTTGGTTTGGGTACCCGAACAGTATCTCAGCCCTCACACAGACCAAATGACTCAGTGTGGTGCACATTTGTTTGATGCTTTCTTGGACTAATGTTTATGAGTTTAAATAAACATGAAATTAAATTAGACATGAAATTAAATGGCTCAGATGTATTTATCCTTTGTCTTTCCATTGATGGTAAGTTCTAAAATTACCGCATGATTTCGATTCCGAAAACTTATTCTTTCTTGAATGATACTAGGAATATCTAGTCTCCTCTGCTATTACTGATGTTATTAATACTTCTATTAATCAGGCATTCGTCTCCATAATTTCATTTTCCCGTGCTGATATGACTAGATAACCAGAATTATTATTATTATTATTATTATTAATAATGGGTTTATTCAATATTACATTTTGGTACAATATAGAATTCTCAGCACAGGGTATTTTAACAAGTTTCTCACAAAAGAACGCTAGATGATGGAAATTAATACTCATCAGGAAGCCTTATAAAGAATAGATCAGTTCTTTGAATACTGTAGAAACCTTAGTCCATAGCTTCTTGTTAGTTACGTCAAACCATCAAATATCACTCCATTACTTTTGATAATCAGGAAGACACCATAGTACTTTAAGTACCTCTCTGACGCATATAACTGAGTAACCGATGAGGTGATAAAATTATTTGCTTGTTGTAATTATTCAACGCGTTTAACCCAGAATATTATGGCGTTGAACATATAAAGATGTTTGGATGAACCGATGTTTTCAGAGATCAATATGTGAAATGCATAATACCTCAACTATAACCAGCAATGTTTTAACATCTGCTTAATTGGCTTGATAAGAAATCGATCTTTCGTGAAATATAAGCTCAACAAAACTTATGGATTATCAATCAGATAATATGACAAGTGAGGATTATCAAAGGTTAAAATCAAGTCTGTTTTAAATATGTTTCTAAATTTGAGTCCATCTGCACTCAAACAATATTGAAAGAAAGATCCTCACAACGTACTTTTAGAATCATTTCTGTAATGTCCTACAATCAACTAATACGCATACATGACTTTAAGCAACCAATACGCAACAAGTGACTGATACTCTATGCTTGACGGTTGGCTGAATACTATCTAATCCCGAACAAAGAGGAAGAACACGAGAAAAATGATCGTCAGTCCGACATTATATATATATATACAAGACTAGACGACGCAACAGACCTATAGAGTAAAAGTACTAACGCTGAACAACAGCAGTAATGATGAGAAAAACAGAGTACTGGGTACATAAATAACCAATTCTAGTTTATGAGTAGAAAACGCTATAGAAACAGTTTACAATTCAAATAAAAACTTGAAACTAGGGTAGTACGGAAACAATTAAACCTAAATACCTAATAAATATGCAATCAATAAATTTTGTCTAATATTTCCGGCATTGCCTTTATGATATTTTGGCTTGGCTATGTCTTTCAAGTTATTGTTATTATTGTTTTTGAGTGACAACTTACCTTTTCCTCAGATATTTTTTCACTGCATTCGCAATTACCGATATCCTCCTCTTTCAGTGTTTCCGTTGTCATTAGGCTTTATATAAATTCTGAGATTTGGAAATCGTATAGTTTTAAATCCATAGAAAAGCACTGTTTTGAAGAAGACGAATAAAGAAGAAGCGTGGGAAAATTGAGCAGTTACACAAAACATTTCACATAATTATACTAAATATGACATTTTACGGGCATTTAGCACAATAACTAATGATATGTGAACTGTGAAAGTGACATCTTGCTTGCGTGATGTACTACACTGATTTTATTAAACTCAATGACCAAGTACAGACTATGTACCCTTTTTCTAGCTATATGTTTATTTATTTAAGAGCTTGTGATATTATTATCAAATGTAAGGTGATTCAACCATCAAACTGCTGCTTTTATCTGGATGTCTCATTACCAACTAAGAGTGCGTAAAATATACAGTTCTATTAGGGAAGGACAATCGTGAACTAAGATTAGTCTTGATCGACACTTAGTCATGGAGTTGATTATGAATTGATTTGGCTTACCTAAATTAAATTAATGATGTTATTGATGGAATTTTGTTGCTTTGGTGTATGATGTACCTTTGAGACACACACTCAAGGTCCAAGTGTAGTAATTCACTCGATTTAACCCAAATGACGTGACTTACCCTAGACGCGTCCCAAAGTAGCGACCCCCCCCCTCGACTATATTTACGTTCCGAACAGATGTGCTGTATACCCAGACATACCACACCACATTAGACAATAATATGGAAAGTACTATTTAAACATAAACGGGCTAAGACCATCTATGATCAGGAGAAACTTTGAGTAGTAGACTGGGAACAAATTAGGAATAGTAAGTCATATAACAGCAGTTAGTGAATGAAAAAAAAGCTCGCAATGAATGGAATATATATACATAAAAATCTAGTTACTCAGTAATCTTTGAACAAAAGTACACTTAAAAATAGTTCAAAAAACCAGCTTTTAACTGTTACAACATTCGTTTCGTTATAATAGGCATAAAAGACCACATTTCTTTCAGTAAGCCTAAGATATTTTTCGGCTATATGATGCCAACACATATTTTATACAACTCTAGAGAAATTTATGGTAAATATTTCTCATCTCATCCAACTGTTTTTTACAAATTTTAATAACGAGAAAAACAACACTCAAAACAGAATAATATCAATCGATTATATTTCATGGTTTCCCATCAGCTGCTTACAACCGTATATATATAGAAATGTAACATTGATATGTCATATGAAGCAATCGACATTGGCGACGAACAGAACTAGAACAACAAAGATTATCCATAATATACATATATCTGTCAATGAATATACGTAGGGCCATTTAAAGATGGGATTCAAAATCAGTGAGAGGTGAGGCGGTAACTAAATGGAGGCCAAAAGCAGACAAGATGGACCGTGCAGTAGTTATGGAACGTGTAAACAGTTTACTTAAATTTTAGATCACTTGAAAATGTGTATGGAAGATTTAGATCAGTGGGGTAGTCAGCCCCTAATTCATAATTGAGGCTTCCGTAGTAACTATACAACATAAGAAGAGTTTACGTAAGTCTGAAGGATTGAGCGGGTGAAAAAACCGATGAATGAATGGTAAGAATTAGTTTATCAAAGATTCTGCAAAGAGGTAAACACTAATAAATAACAATTTTGGACGGTGTTATTCAAGTCTATTAATTCATCAAGGTAATGAAAAATCTATTACTGTCTCTTTTTGACAACATTTACTAAGTTTGAATTTTTAATTGTTGCTGATTCGGCAGATTGTATAAACGCTGCGTTGTTTTGTTCGCTGAAGGTTTTAAAGGATCCAAAAATATCAACATTGCGCCTGGTATCGATTTAATGCTGACCTACTGTTCCACTTGCAGCCGCTACTTCTCTCGTTCTTATATTCTTTAGGCATACATGGAAATGTGGATATCTGCTCTTATATCTATCCTTCTAATGTATACACTTTGGTATGCACAGGTAAAGTGATAAACGTAGTTCGAGGTTTTGAGATGAAAGAACCTATAGAATTTTATCCTCACGCTACGTCATCAGTTACAAATGACATAGTGAAAGCTGAGTTTCTGTGGATGATTAACCTAGCTTTCACCAATTATTTTTGGTCCGATAACCACTCTCTCGAAATATTCATGTCAGATTGCGCCTCCACGTTCAAACTGTTAGCAAAGAAAATAAAAACTTCAAAACGAATTTTATTTATTGTCTACCTGTTAACAAGTTAAGAGGATATACAATTATTTTGGTGAATTATCGTCTAGCTGCAAGATGATGAACAGTCAAAAGCTAATAACAGCGAAGATGGCACAGATATCTGCTGATTTGGACAACATAATGATTTTCTCGAGGAATCAAGCCAAATAGTCGAAAGAAACAAGAGGATATAAACAATGGTAAAACGATTTGCCAAATTTGACATTTATTAAATTAACAAATTTCACTACATTCTATGAAACCAATCCTACAGTCTATGAAACTTAGTTATTAACCATCAAATGTTATCAAAGCCGAAACTGAAACGGAATACACGAAGGTATTGGTCAAACATCTTGAATGACCATATTTCACAAAATATTTATTCAGCATTTCGGTCAATATATCGGCTTAAAAACATACTGAAACACATTACATGTGAAAAATAAACTAGTTTCTGAGCAAACCCTTTAAATCATTTACCTTCTTAAATCCTATAGCTCTTAAGTCATAAATCTCATAAGAATATTACGTTCTTCATGACAAAATAATGTGAAAAAAACAATTCACGAGTCTGTGGACAATGGATGAAGTTAGTGCATGTATCTAATAAACCAAGTTCAAAATTTTAAAAATTCAGGCTACACAACAAGGTCCTGGTATATAATTTCGTTTTCTGTTTTCCGTTCACAAAGTACCTTGATGTGCAGTTGAACATTCAAATATGTGCGATGCGTTGTCATAATGACCGTCATATAAAACGTGTTGTTCATAACTAACTTGTATCTGAAAGATGTTTATAAGGAGCTATTATGGATCGAATGATTATATTTTGTTCGGTTTCTGATGTTGCGGCACGATTACAGGTCCTTAATAGCGCTCACTGAAAGTATTCCAACCACTCGGTTGCAATTACCTTAGTGAACTCAACAGGTATTTGTTGATTGACACATCGTGACTTTAAGTAGACGCGTTTCTGTGAGACAGTAGAGCCTCTCAAGCCATCGCAAATCGCGTTACAGGTCAGGAGAATGGTTGGTTGAAAAGTGAAAACTCTGAAATTAGAATGCAGTTCAGTAAAAATGAGGGTGAGGAAAAAACCACCAATAAGTTGAAAAAGAGAATAAATAAATTGAAGTTCATAGACAGAAGTGTGAGTGTATGTGACAAGAGTGAAAATGAGGCAAATTTTTTATGACAATTATTATTACTATTGTCATAATCATTAGTCTCATAAGAAGTGGTAGTAGGTCTATTGAGTAGCATGTACAGTAATAACGTTGCCACCGGTACTTACAGTATAATTACGAGGGAGACGGATAGAGGTCTTAAATCAAAGTAATATGTCTAAAATCCCTGTTACTAGTTAAAGGATTGTAACGGTAAATAAATCCCTAAAATAAATAGCTCTGTAAGTTTTCGACATTGGATGCTGATCGAATTAGTTTTAGTGGACTCACCTAGCTGAAGGTGCTCGGTCATGCATCCGCACCAGATCACGTGTGGGAACGCCGTGCTCAACTGCTACTGCAATCGCTAGCCATATTGGATCAGACAGTTCCGATATATTGGCAATCGTCAAATACAACTTCTGATCTCCTCGATTCTGTCTTTTGATTTCTTCTGGTGGGTACGAGTTATATTAGAAGGTGTTACTGGTAAAAGCCTTGTCAAACACTGAATACCTGTGCCATCTTTAGAATTATAAGAAAACTCAGAAAGCGTTAGATAATGAACCTCTTTGTAATATGTGAAATAACGATCACTCGACACAAGCACAGAAACAGAGGCCCCAAACAATTAGTTAGAATCGCTCTCCTACCTAGATCCCTACTTCTAGTGAAACTAGTTAACAAAAATAAGTACGAGGAAATGGAATCCTAACCTGCTCATAATACTGTCTTCTGAAGAAGATAACAACGGTGGCCGTGCCGCATGCTCGGCAACACAGCATTTGAATGCATTTTCTGTGGTAGCTGGGTTAACAGTCGTTTTGATGCTGAAGTACCTAGGCAGTAATACCGGTTCATGTCACATCACCCCTGTTTATGATTTTGATGTTTATCCCAGCGATATTGGAAAAATACACTAACCACAGTAACATGGGAGGGATATAAAACCACACTGAAAATAGTTGCATCTATCCTCACAAGTGTACCCAATTCATCCAACATAGGTATGAGCCAACAAGCAAACATGAGAGCCACAACCCAAGCGCCAACTATTGCATATGCTCCAGAAAAAGCCGCCGATAAACAACTTCAGATAGCCGATGGCTTCAGACGCTTTTGGGTTATTACAAAGTCTCCGATTGTGGAAACAAAGTGCAGACTGTTAATTTGCCCTTCTGCACCAAGGAAATCGAATTCCCTACTTACATAGAGAGTAAATCAAATTAAACGTGTATGATAGTTTTGCTTTCTTTAGTGCTCAGGTCGTGCACTATTTGCTGAGGTTCTTTTCTTTTCCGAAATGGGCGACTAGTTTCTTTTACTTCGTTGGGCGGGACTAACTAACTAATGAAGCACTTCGAAGAGACGAAAATACCCTGACTCTTACTGCAGCAGAGCAGACTACACGACCACGAGAGAGCACTATCATTACGCCCCATGGTCATAAAAATGGCGAAGGTTAGCGGTGCATTAGCATCAAGAATTAGTGAGAGATACTATTCATGCAGCAATTCTACAAAACATGAATCAATCACAATACACGCCTGGAGACAGAACATTTTCGATTAGTGAGGCACAAAACGCTTGCCACAGACATAAAAGAGAGTTTGGAATAAATGGAAAGTTTCCATAAACAATTCTAATCGTAGCTCTACCTTGGCATCTATAAATTAATGCAACACCAAAGCTTAAATCGACAAGGGAAATTCTCACACCAAGCTAGCAGCTGAAATACAAGTCAACCCAAAGTATATCTAAAAGTTTGTGATCAAACGAAAACACAACGCTAAGGATCTCATCAATCCAGAGATAGTCTAAATCTTTGATGCCAACTTCACGGATCAATAATACCAGAAACCTAAAGCATGAAACACTACTCAACTCTAGTTCATAATTATAGCCTAAAGAACATCTGTCTGACTCCTGGCTTTGCAACACGAAAGCTGGCATTGTAGTGAACGAGGACGCAAGTGGACATAATCGAATGTATTTGCTCACAAGATTACAGAATCTCTTAGTAAAATCTTAGAAACATACATTAAATACTTCATTTACCAAATGTCAATCAGTCGTTTAACACTTCATTGTTCTTTCGTTTTTACATCAATCATCCACTATTCTCGTTCTTTTCTCTTCGGTCTTCTTAACCACCTACCTCTTGTAATCTCACTTTCGATTGATGATGTATACCACTTACATCTGTCGACATCAGTAACATATACCACAGGACTACTTTACCTATTAAAGTGATAAAGATGCGACAACATATGTCCTTTAATCCTAAACAAGTAGATGAAAGCTCTCACTACACTGGTGTAAGACGTTTTGGGCACATACTAGAGTCATAGAAACCCATGAAATCTGACAATGATTTTCACAATCCACAATCTTCAAAGGAGAAAACAGGAAAGATCCCAACCAGTAGTATTAATTTGTGGGCTTTTGAAGGTGATGGATGGGCTGGTCAATTTTAAAATAGGGGACTTCATAGTTCAGAAATATCCTAAAGCCTCCATAAAAATCCACCCTGATCGTATCCTCACAGCATGGTCTTTGGTTAGTGGCTACAAAGGGCTTGGATACCACCTCAAACTTCGTTGGAGATTAGGCCAAAACAAATACTGCTTTTCCCTTTATACAATAATAACTCGGTGTAATCAACCCCAAATTGTTCTTGAAGCTGTCGTTAAAGTACCCATGTCCTCATCTTGAAGTTTAAAATGTTGTTGCTCATTCCTCTGCGAAAGAGACTGAAATCTTTTAAACTGAGTTAATAGACAAGCGACTAAGTGGGTGATTGTGCCAAGTGATGAACCCCATAGAGATAGACTCCAACACCAGACTTTTATCTCTGAGCTAAAGGTAATAAGAAGGCAGTTTGATCATTTGTAATTTGATCGTAGAAAATTCAGTGAATCCATCAAGTCATCCCAACAGAAGGATCCTACCAGAACACCACCATTTTCTTTGAAGCAACTCCCAAATTTCAAACAGCAAATAGCGAAAAGCCAGGTACGCTCTCATATTTTGCATTATGTGCTAGTTCATTAGAATACTTCCCCAGTAGAGGCGACCACACCTCAATAAATAACTTCGAGAGAAGGGTTGATAAACACGTACTCACTCATGAACTTCATTCTCATTCTTGGACAAGCAAAAATACATCACACGTTGTTATGTAAACATAACAAGCCACATAGTGCATTTTCCTGTTTACTCAGTGGTTGAAGAGGGCATTTTAAAGAATTATTTTAAATAAGGCCCACAACATATTTGGTGTTATGTGTTCGGCTCTGATACGTCACATGCTTGGAGTTAACTTCTGCTAAATTTGGACGGTTGGTGAATTTCGCCACAGAGCTTTATAGGTAAGTTTCCTGTTTAGGATGTTTAAAAAGTTTGAAGAACAAATATTGTTCATCTAATTCCATGTTATATGCACGTTAAACCAATTCATCCATCAATTTAGCCGATCTCCAGTCAAGCATACTTAGTTAAGACACAGCCTAGATTAATGGATAATTGTTAAGAGTAGGTACACGGTATTAAGAATAGAAAACTACTGAGTTGCTAAGTGCGTTGTGGATTTCTTTTAATCTTGCAGCTGCAAGAACTGGTTCTTTGTGTTCTTGTTTCCCTTTACGCTTGTCAACATGTCAGTTAATAGCTGGATTTTTGTGATGCACAAGAGTACCAACACGCAAAGTGTAGGTATTAAGAACAATTATGGGAATATCACCATATCTCAGTACGCCTGTGACCAATTTGCTTAAACTGGCAGTCCATATTGTCTTTAGTTGAGCCATCTTGATATAGAGTATGGTGGCAAAACCTTTCGAGTTTACTGAAGCACTTGGTTGTAGCCTTTTGTTCGAAATACAGCTAAACTTATTCTTCAACATTCCATTAGCTGAGACCTGTTTCCCCATTATAGTTCTTTGCACAGTGTATCGATTTCATATGGCAATCCGCAGCAATTTGGAAGACTCTCACGGTCTCCCACATTGTACGTGCATTCCATGTACCTGAAAAAATGGTTGCCCTGGTTGTCAGAAGGGAAATCAGCTTCGTGGCTTCCTATATAACTTGACTTTCACCACGAGGCGTCATAACTCATCTAAATGATAAGCTTCTGACTCCTAGGATGGAGTTTAAATGGATTGAATAACTTTTTCTGTTTAGCCTTTTTTTAGCGAGTTAGTTTTCTACGGTATAGAGTCGCTAACCTCATGACTAACTTTTCTCCTTTATCCGGACTTGGGACCGGCAGTAGCCCCAGGGGTCTCCAGGAGGAGTTTGGTTCATGTGGCTTACCTGAGATTTCTTCATTGAATAGTTTGAGTTCAACCTTATAAGTTGCATACACTGACATCTCTCATTGCAAAAATATAAACCCAAGTTTTATCAACTAATATTTTTGTTATTTTTGCTACATCTTATTCTTCTTTCCTTCAGCCTTACGAATGCTATACACAATGATGGAATTTAGGGTAGATTTGCCTCTGCCAAGGTTACGGTTTCTATAATATATCATGTTTA